AATGAGAGAGAAACATGGATCAGCTGCCTCCTGCACACTCCCCTATTGGGGATGTGCCCACAACCAAGGTACATGCCCTTGATTGGAATCGAACCTGGGACCCTTCAGTCCACAGGCTGACACTCTATCCACTGAGCCAAACCGGTTTCGGCTGGAAGCAATTATTTCTACTTTTTTTTATTAAGATACAGAAAGAATAGGCACTGCCTTTTCTATAATCATTTATTTTTTTAATTGGAACTGTTGGAAAGTGTACATGGCTGGTCCCTCAGAGGGCCTTGGTTAGGAACTTACTATATTCCTTTGGTTACCGATTGAGTTGGAGCAGCAGCTTAAACACCCTTTCCTTCCTCACTCTTAATTAATGAAAACCTTTCGGTGTTGAGGTCCATGTTTTCAAACGTTTTAAGGAGCTTGCTAAGGTCTGCAAAAGTTTCTGCCAAATCCTTCACTGAGTTTTCTTCTTTTTCTTTTTTCCTGTATAAAACCTTATTAAATACAAGCAAAGAACTATGTGCATCTTGCTGTAAAATGCTGCCCCCCACCACCACTACCCTCCCCACCCCCTCGCTCTTCACTGCCCAGATCCTGAAAGACTCTTGTTAATGAACTGTCTCTTCACAAACCAAGTCCACCACTTGCTGGGTTTATCATTGTGAGACGCAAAATCTTTCTCACAAAGTCTCAATCCAGCCTCTTGCCTTAACTGCTGCAAATAGGCCCTCATCACTTTGTCTTCCTATTGTTTGAAGGTTTGGCCTAAATTGTGTTAAGTGGAAACCAGACTCTCCAGGAACGGGAAAATTAGTGATTCCCAGTCTATACATTTCTTTCTCACCTTGCTTTTAGAATTGCACTTTTGGAGTTCTGACACTCAGAAATGAAGAGAGTTGTGTATAATATATCAAGGTCCTATTAGCTTTATTCTTAATTTCATCATTTTTGAAGAAGACATTGGCCTTGAAATAATAGGTGGCTTCATCCACAATAGCTGTGTCTTTTGTCTTTCTGGTGGCAGGTCGTTTGAACTGACTTCCAGTGGGCAACAGTGACATGTTTCCCAATGAGTTTGGTATCAGGGTCCATGAATGAAAAATGGTAAGCCGGCATCTTGATGTCTTCCGATTTTTCTGAGGTTTCTCTTTTTCTTCTTCAGCAGTTCCCTTTGCTCTTGCCTCCTTTGTTCAACTATCACTATGCTATCCTCTTCCAGGCCCAACAACTCCTCTTTCAGTTCCTCAGGAACAACTCCTAAGACTCCTCAGTGTCATCCTCATCCACACCCAGGTTAAGGTGGTTTGCAATCTCAACCACAGCCATGTTGACTTTTGCAGTCTTTACACTATGATGTTACAACAGCTACAGCACTACCTTATAAGAATTTTTCAGCTCTATTATAACCTCATTATATCATTATGTCGTTATTATAACATATATGAAGGGACTACCTCCATATATGTGCTTCATTGTTGACCAAAAAATCATTATGTGGTTACATAGAAGTAGAATTTATACGAAACAGTAATTATATATATATATATATATATATATATATATATATGTAAATTAATTTCTTGTTTGTATTTAAAAAAATAATTATGCAGTGTATGACTATTTAATCTTTTTTCTTTAGGAAAAAATTTATTTTTTTCCTCACCCAAAGATACATTTATTGATTTTAGAGAGAAACTAAGAGCCTGGCTGACTTGGCTCAGTGGTTGAGCGTCAACCATGAACCAGAAAATCATGGTTTGATTCCCAGTCCGTGGGTTGTGGCTTTGATCACCAGGGTAGGGTGTGCAGGAGGCAGGCAGTCAATGAGAATCATTGATGTTTCTATCTGTCTCTCCCTTTCCCTTCTTCTCTGAGATCAATAAAATGATATATTTTGAGAGAGAGAGAGAGAGAGAGAGAGAGAGAGAGAGAGAGAGAAAGAGGAAGAGAGAGAGAAAAACATTGATTGGTTGCCTTCTGTATGTGCCCCAAATCTTAACTGAACCTGCAACATAGATATGTGCCCTGACCGGGAATCAAGCCCACAACCTTTTTGGTGTATTGGGATGATGCTCTAACCATTTGAGCAACCTGGCCAGGGCTTAATTTAATTTAAAGTTAATTTAAATTTATTTTTTTTAAAAAGTTGAGAAGCATTGTTCTATAATAATGAATCTCCAAACTTTAGTGGATCAACCAGAATAAAGGTCACTTTTCTTAACCTGCCCTGCAGATAAGGTATGGCCATATGACTAAGTTCTGGCTCTGGCAGATGATGGAAAGTGATGAGTACAATCCCATGATGGGTCTAAAAATGAGGACCAAGCCCTTTTCTACCTTCCCACTATCCTGTACTTGGAAAGCAGACATGGTGGCAAAGCCCCTTGGGCCATGTGCAGAAGGGCAGCAACCTGGACATGGCAGTGAATCAATGAGACAGAGCCTAAGAGACTGCATGGAGCAGAACCACCGTACACACTCTAATCAACCTGCCTCTTTCAAGAAGAAATGCATTTATCAATTAGCCACTATTAAATTGGGTCTCCATTATATGAAACTTACCCCTTACTCTTTTTTTTTTTTTAAGAAAGAGAGAAAGAGAAAGGGAATGGAAGAGAGAGAAACATCGATACGAATGAGAAACATTAATTGGTTGCCTCCTATACACACCCCCAGAGGGGATCAAACTAGAAAGAAACCTAAGTATATGTCCTAACTGGGAATTGAACCTACAACCTTTCAGTGTACAGGGACAATGCTTCAAGCTACCTAGGCACACCAGCCAGGCCATTACTCTTTTTTTGTTTGTTTTTTAATTATGATGGTAAAAAAATGCATAACATAAAATTTACAATTTTAACCATTTCTAAGTGTACAATTCAGTATTCTTAAGTATATTCATATTATTGTACAACGTATCTCTAGAACTTTTTCATTTTTCAACACTGAAACTCTGAAACCTACTAAAGACTAATTTCGCCTCACCTTTGCCCCTAGCCCTTGGCAGCCACCTTTCTACCTTCTGCTTTTAGATTTGACTTTAAATACTTCAGGTAAATATTTTGTGTGGCTTATTTCACTTAGCATAATCTCCTCAAGGTCCATCCCTGTTGTAGCATGGGACAAGATTTCCTTCTTTCTTTCTTTATTTTTTAATATATTTTTTATTTATTTTTTACAGAGAGGAAGAGAGAGGGACAGAGAGTTAGAAACATCAATGAGAGAGAATCATTGATCAGCTGCCTCTTGCACACCCGCTACTGGGGATGTGCCCGTAACCAAGGTACATACCCTTGACCGGAATCGAACCTAGGACCTTTCAGTCCGCAGGCTGATGCTCTATTCACTGAACCAAACCAGTTTCGGCAGATTTCCTTCTTTCTTAAGGCTGCTGAAAGTTTCATTGCTTGTGTAAACCAAATTTTCTTCATCCATTCATCTGTTGGTGGACATTTGGGTCACTTCACCTTTGCAAATAAGGCTGTTGTGAATAATGCTACCATGAACATGGGTTAGCAAATTTCTCTTTGAGATCCTTCGATCCTTCTTTGAATTCTTTTGGACCTATTCCCAGAAATGGAATTGCTGCATCTTATGGTCATTCTATTTTTTATGTTTTGAGGAGTCTCCATATTCTTTCCCATAATGGAAGCACTATTTTATCGATACGTTCCTGCCAATAGTGCACAAGGGTTCCAACTTCTCCATATCTATACCAACAGTTATTTTATAACTAGAGGCCCGGTGCATGAATTTCATACACAGGTAAGGTCCCTAGGCCTAGCAGGCATTCAGGGCTGATCAGGGCTTTCCTTCCCTGGTTGCCAGCTGAAGGCCAGGGCCTTCCTTAATTCTGTGCTGCCCCTGATGATCGGCGCATGTCATAGCAAGCAATTAAACTTAGAGTCTCCCAGTTGAACTCCCAAAGGTACACTTTGCATCGTAGAGATATATATATATATGAATATGAGATGATATATAATTTTGGTTTTGATTTGCATTTCCCTGTCTTTTATGATTATGATGTTGAACATTTCATGTGTTTATTGGCCATTTGTATATCTTCTTTAGAGAAATGTCTATTCAAATTTCTCTCCCTTTTTAAAATCAGGTTTGTTGCTGCTGCTGTTGCTATGTTGTAGAATTTTCTTATAAATTCTAGGCATTAACTTTTTTTAAAATATATTTTATTGATTTTGTACAGAGAGGAAGGGAGAGAGATAGAGAGTTAGAAACATCGATGAGAGAGAGTCATCAATCAGCTGCCTCTTGCACACCCCCTACTGGGGATATGCCTGCAACCAAGGTACATGCCCTTGACGGAAATCGAACCCGGGACCTTTCAGTCCCCAAGCCGACGGGTTTTGACGACATTAACTCTTAATCAGATATATGTTTTGCAATTATTTTTTTCCATTTCATAGGTTGTTTTTTTCACTATGTTTATTGTTTTTCTTTGATGCAAGCAAAGAAGTTTTTAAGTTTGATGTAGTCCCATTTGTCTATTTTCAACTTATTCCTTATTCTAACTAATTCAACCATTAAAAATAACAATAAACTGTAGCAGTGATGGCATAAAAAACAAAGGAAGCTTATCACAGTAGGAAATGACCTGGTCCTAGAGGAAATTATCATATCCTAAGAAAATAAGTCAGCCATATATTATATAAATAGTAAGGAAATTTGAAGAGTTTTACTTACCTGGACTCCAGTATTTTCCATCTGGAAACCACATTTCCAACTCTTGTTGTATGATATTATTATATAACCTATTCTTCACCCTAGGTGAGCAGCTGTGAGTATACTAAAGGCTGCCAGTGATACTGGTTTCACATCCCTTACTATAAACCACCCATTTATGTGAAATGGACACAGAACATGCAGAAATTCCCTTGGATCTGAGAGTAGGATTTCCCCCAGCACAATTGTTTGTGGTCAGTTTAGCTAGATCAGCTAAGAATACTAGCCAATCAGAGTTTCAGAGGGAAAATGTTTTCCTATATAAATATAATTATCAATAGCATGTTTTCTAAAGAATTTCCCAGGCTTGAATTCTAACAGAGGAGTGACTCGGTAGAATTCCATTCTACTGCTATGAAGCAAAGTGGTGTTTCTCTCCTTTTGGGTATCATCTTCCTGACTCTGATTGGAGTTCAAGGTAAGGGGTTCTGAGTCACATTAGGTTAATAAATTCAGAGATGTAAATTGCTATGAAAGCCTCTTGAATTGCCCAGTAGAAGTGATTGCATGCATCAGAAAGTGATATGAGTCACTCATAAAAGCTCTTTGATGTGGTTAATTATCCAAAGTTCCTATCTTAGACTTGCCAAATCAAAAAAGTCTTCTCAGTCTTGGTGTTTGAATTCCTGGCATGTTGTAAATGTTCAATAAATGTTTATTGAAGTGTAGATAATGAGATTAAAGACTCTCAAGTTAGTTTTGTTACCCTCATATTGTTTCTTGACAAGTATTTCTGTGCTTAATCAATTAAAGAACCAATAATCAGAGACATTGTTCTTAACTTGTTTACTATTGGCCTTTGTTACATTAAGCAAATTAGTGAGCTTTTCTAGACTTCAGTTACCTCCGCTGAAAAATGGATATTTTATAGTTATGATTTTTTTATCTATAATACCTCATGATGTATGGTATATAGTAAGCACTAAGTAAATATATATGTTGAATAAATGAAAGAATTAAGAATGAAGATAGTGTATTTTAAAGAATTTCCAAAAGTTTAAAGCACTATTGAAAAGCAAGGCAGTGGGGAGGATGAGGTTGGTAGTGGTAACTGGTTATTATATATAGAGCTTTCTGTCCAAACCAACACCAACTGCAAGGTCATGTAATAAAAAGGCTTTGGAAATTGCTTAGGAAACTGAGCACCTATGAATTAGTTATCCATGTGTCTGGCGTGCAATAAGAATTTATTAAGTATTGTGAAAATCTTTTTTTTCCTGAGGTTGTAGAATATGGTAGTTAAGAGCAATGCCTTTAGATTCAAACTCTTTCCTTGCCCCCTAAAAGCTGAATGACTTTGCTCTTTACTTCTTTGAACTTGAGCTTCTTTGTCTATAAAATGAAAGTGATACCTACTTCAAAGTTTGTGGTAATGATTACTGGAAACTCAGGAAATGATAGTAATAACCATGATTAAGTCAAATGTATCGTTTTGATGGAACACCTAAATTGAGACATTGCCCTAAACCGGTGTGTGCTATCCATTCCCTTTCTCTTAGGAGTCCCAATAATGAAGAAAGGACGCTGTTTCTGCATCAACACCAACCAACAAATGATCCACCTTAAATCCGTAAAGACCCTTAAACAGTTTTCCCCTGGTCCTTCTTGTGAGAAAACTGAAATCATGTAAGTAAGACCTCATCCAACATGCATGCATCCTATTGGCAGGAACATTAAATTTAGTGTGATTATTACCCTCAGACACTTAAAATTTAGATTGCTGCTCCTTTACAAATCTTGCCTACTTCTTGCTTTTCTAAAAAACGAACAAAAAAAAACAAAAAAACACAACAACCAACAAGTAATTTCTGGTGTGGGTTAGGAACAAGACATATCACAAAAGTAATATATGTTCATTGGAAAAAATGTTTAATGCAGATAACCCAAAAGAAAAAAATCAATATCATTTATAATACAGTGACAAATGCTGTTAATCTCTTGCTATGTGGTGTTCCAGATCTCTCTCATTTGTGTACATATATAAACACAAAAAATATATACATATATTTATATTATAGATACAATATACTGTATATGCACACAAAAATAAAATCGTACCCTACATACTGTTTTTCATTAGTACTATATCATGAACATTTCTTCATGTCAGTACATCTTCTGTCATAATATCATCTTTTTCTGATCATGTCATTTTTAATGGTCAAATTATATTCCATCATATTCATGTACCATAATCTGTATGAACAATGCTAATTGTAGGCTATTTTCTATTTTTTCCTATTGAAATCAAACTCTTATTATGGCAATATTGTGTCTTGAATTCTTTCCTACTAATAATTCCTTTCTAGAAATTAGAATTGCTAAGTTAAAGTACATGTATACACTTCAGTCTTTTGAAACCTAAATCGAGAATCATATATAGATTAGTTGCTCTTATTCTCAGATTATATTGATAAATTAAAGGAAAAAATCTTTGAATTATTCAAGGAGAGTATGCTGTAATTTAACAAAATTCAACCAGTCTGTTAATCTTATTTTAGGATAACATTTCATTATGTTTTAAGTAGTTTCATTAGAAAATTTGGCAAAATTCATGCTGATTTTCATTGTTTCTGGGGGGGGGAAAAAGTAGGTATATTGATAACTTTTCTATTTTGCTTCTTCAGTTAAGTTTAAATAGCTAGTTTCAGGACAAAATAATCAGTATCATCTTTAGATATGTTTCTCTCATTGCATATAGCTGTGGGATTTTTAAAATTTATGGTTATGTGCTATCCTAGAGACTTCTCTAAGGCCCTTATTTGATTAGAAAATGAAATGGTTGCCCTAGCCAGCTTGGCTCAGTGGATAGAGCATTGGCCTGCAGACTGAAAGGTCAAGGGCACATGCCCAGGTTGCTGGCTCAATTTCCAGTGTGGGGCATGCAAGAGGCAGCTGATCAATGAGTCTCTCTCATCATTGATGTTTCTACCTCTCTCTCCTTCTCCCTTCCTCTCTGAAATCAATAAAAATATAAAATAAAATAAAATGAAAATGAAAAGGCAGGAAAAAAGACTGGGATTCTCAGATGCTTATAGTGTTGACACAAGTACACTCTAATTGGGGGATTGAATTCTGAGGATAAGTGGAAGCATTTAAATTATTAAAAGTTAAATATTTTTTTTAAAAAGTTAAAATCTTGTTGCTATTACCTTGGCAGTGCTATAATGAAGAATGGGACTAAAACATGTCTAAACCCACAATCAACAAATGTGAAAAAATTGATGAAAGAGTGGGAGAAACAGGTTAGTGAAAAGAAGGAACAAATTTTTTTTCTTAGAAATAAACTTTGGAAGACAAATAATCTCTGTAGTTCCTTTAAAGGTATTTAAAGGTACGTTTTTAAAAATTCATATATCTGTATTCCTGTTTGTTACTAGAATGATGTCCTCACTTTGGCATATAGTTATATTCCTGCATAGAGTAGCACCTGTCTATCACACCACTAGAATGTGGGTTCCATGAGCATAGGGAGCTTATCTTTCTTATTTAACACAATGAATATGTATTTAACTGAATAGTAGACACTGAAAATAGGAAGGTAATAAGATATAGTACCGTCCTACTATAGCAATATTCTAACAATAAATTAAAGTACAATTCCAAATATTAAATTAAAATATGTACAAGAATCTTGAAGATTATAGAAGAAGGAGTAAGTAATTTTGCTGAAGGGAGGGGCAGGGAGAAACTATTAAGGAAGACTTTTCATATTAGGTGACATTTGATTTAGGTCTTGAAGGATAAGTAGTTCACCAGGAGGGCAAAGACATCATGAAAGGTAGAATCATGAGAGAGCTTGCTGTGTCTAGGGAGCCTTTGGTAATGTGGATGGAGTTTGTATGGAGGGAATTAAGGGATTGAGGTAAAAGCATAGACCAGGACAGAGTGGGAAGAGTCCTGGATGACATGCTGAGGTGTTATGTCTGAAGAGGGACACAGATATGTAGTTGGGAGTGTGGTTTTTGGAGTCTGATAGACTAGTGGTTCTGCCACATAGTAGCTATGCAACTTTGGGCAAGTTACACTCTCTGAGTCTCAGTCTCCCCATAGGTAAAAAGTAGTTGATAACAGTACCAACCTCAGAAAGTTGTACTTGCAACAGTTAAGCATGGTTGGAGTGAGGGTAGTAATGAGCCAGGAGAATGGACAAGAGGAGACCGATTAGAAGGCTGTTGCCTCCTCCTCAAAGTGGGTGAAGTAGAAAGAAGTGAAAGGAGCCCCTTTGAGAGTAAAGCACTTTAAACCTGTTTTGAGGATGAAGAAGGACCATAGTCTAGAGTAGGGGTGTCGAACTCAATCAGAGAAGGGGCCAAAATCTAAAATCCAGCCTAAATCGCGGGCCGAATGGTTTACTGAACAGTCATAAACTGTCATTGTGATGGAAATGCAGCGGAGTGCAGTGATGACAGCGCGGTGCAGGCCACATTGCAAGGCCTGGCCGGATGGATTTGGCCCGCGGGCCTTGTGTTTGACACATGTGGTCTAGAGAGTTCAATTATAATATAAGAAAGGGAATGTGGTAAGATGAAGAAACAATGTCCTTTCCCCTCCTCTCTTTGCAGGTCAGCCAAAAAAAGAAGCAAAAGAAAGGGAAAAAAACATCAAAGAAGCAGGGAATTAAAAAGGCTAAACGATCTCAACGTCCTCATCAAAAGAAGACTATATAATCAACCACTTTACTGACAAATATTTTCTGTTTAAAATATTCTTTTTAATTATACTGAAATAATTCCAGCACCTTAATCCATAAACTTGTTAATCTGACTAGAAATTATAAAGCATCATTATGAAATTGTAATTGAAGCTAAAACGTGGCTTTTAAAATCCAAATGTTAAGAATTGTTAGAGGCTATAGTTTGTCTTTATTCTTCCACCTACAGCCAACTGAATTTCATCATGCTTACGTGCAGGATCTTAGTAACACCCACATGTGGACAAATGTCCATGCAATCACATCTCACACACAATAGCTGCCTGGGAGAGCAGCCTTAGGCTTCCAAGACCACAGCCTGCAGTTTTCAGAGCGTATTCTCAGGCACATGTCAGCAAGTGCCAGCTTGTCAGCTTGCTGGTAAGCCAAGCAGTTTGGAATTGAGCAGGATCTCATTAAGCTGCCACGGCCAGCAGCATCTGTATTTGAATCCGCCTACAGGCCTCCCATGCAATGCATCTGAGAGGTAAAAGCTGGTTGCTTCTGGGAACCACCACTGGAGAACACTAGCACTTAGCTTTCAGAATCTTCTATCTCACTGTTGAGGCCATGTGACTGTCCAGGCTGACCACTTTGTTTCTGTTGTTCCCCTTTGCCTCAGTCAAGCCAGTTCCTCACTGTCCTACTACAGTGCCTGCCTGCTCTACTGTGCAGGCCATGATCTTGCTGACCTGGGTCTATTCCCTTCTCATTATTTCCCCAATACCCCACTCATCTTCACTTTGCCCAGGATTCAATTCAATCCTGCCTCTTAAATAAAACCTTCTGGACACTCCGATTATCTTAAAACCCTATTTCATTTGTGCTCCACACCACACAGGTGAGCACTTAATTATTTTCTAATTTTTGTGTGTGTTTATTCTCTCTCTCCAGCTCCTTGAGGCAGGGGGCCAAGTTTATTTCCCTGAATCTGCCACCATGCCTCATATACTGTGGGACTAGATTTTGAGTACTTTCTTTTTTAAAAAAATATATTTTTATTGATTTTTTTACAGATAGAGAGCTAGAAACATCGATGAGAGAGAAACATCGACCAGCTGCCTCCTGCAAACCCCCCACCGGGGATGTGCCCACAACCAAGGTACATGCCCTTGACCGGAATCGAACCCGGGACCTTTCAGCCCGCAGGCTCTATTCACTGAGCAAAACCGGTTTGGTTTTGGCTTGAGTACTTTCTTATTGCAGTTGTTACAGGTAGGAGGGCAACCAGGCCATCCCCTCAGAGCAGGAGCTGGCTATCTATAGCCAGACTCAATATTGAATAACCCCTGGTAATCTCATTATCTTCAGTCCATTATCCCTGAAAGCACCCAGGGTGATGCAACATCCTTGTCTTATTATGACAGGATGTTAACTTAGCCTCTTGAGCAGATAAGGCAGAAATGTTTAAACATTTATGGAAGTTTAAACATTTATGGAAGAAAGTACTAAAATATACAGGGTACATAAAATCACAGAATCTTACAATGGGAATCTTACAAGGAGCTTTAGAAATCAATCAGTGTCCAATCCTTCGCCACCCCATACAAAAAGTTCTTCAGTATAATTTCTGACAAGCCTCGGTTTTCTATGATAGGACAGGAAAGCCGCCAACATCCTCTTGAAAACTCATTTTAGGGAAATGTGAATGTTCTTGTCATTAAACTTTTCTCAGAATTGGTAAAATATTGTGATTACTGATTATTCCACCAGGTGTCCTGAAGAAAGGTGATGCTAAGATACCAAGAGCTGGAGGGAGCAGCAAATTCTGTTAGTGGAGACAAGGCTGGCATGCACGTAGCCTCTGCAGGGTGTGGAAACTCTTACAGAGGAGGTTTGGTGAACTGTGTAGGACAGGATGTCTTTTGCCAGAACTTAAACAAATGCCTTCTTTCCCAAATTTTGTTACTCCTTACCCAACAGGTGATTTTCGGTGCTGTCCAGTGGTGATCCCACCCAAGCCATGTCTGATCTAATCATGAAACTCTAGCTCCTTCCGGGCACATCCTTGAAAAATCTAAATGTTCCCTAATTGGAGAGTTTGTGAACCATTCACTACACAACTCACAGGTAAAGTGTAGTGTATAACTAATAACCAGGAACTGCATTTTATAACACATAAGTGCATGCTATTAAGCATTTACATATATATGTATACTCTATAAGCAAATAATTAAGTTCAAAGCAGTACTGGCATATATACCTTATACTCTGAAATAATTTCTTTGTTAAAAGATGGCAATAAATGGACCATTAATCAGAAAACAAGTCTTGATTTTTTTAATGTCTTGAACATACACTTTAACTATTGCATGCTTAACAGTAATTCTCACGTGTCTTTATTTGCTCTCATCTCAGGTAAAGTATAATGGAGGTAAAGAATGGAAGCCCTTTAAAGGGCTCTGTGGGGACAGAAAAGAAAACTTCTATGGAAAATGTGACAACAATGCCTTATAACAACATTGACTTATGAGAGTTATGTGAAATGAAATTTATTTCCTAATTTGAAGGACAATCATATCCCAATGAGATAGACACCGAGGAAAAAAAGAAGTCCCCTTTTACATATTCTGAAAGTACATGTTTTTAAATATTATAAAGTCATAAGTAGCTATGGTAGATATCTAAATAAGCATAAGGTAAGTTACTTATGAGTGCAGAAAATTTGGGCTGGAGATATTAGGTAGTGTGGACTGTAAGAAGGTTGAAAAATATCAGTGTACATTTGAGGTACACTGAGAGGCCAGGCAGTTGTGAAATACCCTTTGTTGCAAGGAAGGTGCGGGAGAATAGTCAGAGAAGGGTGGAACTGATACTAAGTACTTCCTCAGCACCAAGATCTATGCTGGGCCTATTCCTCACAACAGTCCTGAATGAGGACACTGGTGCACTGGGAGGTTAAATAGTATAGGACCATGGTCAGCAAACTGCGGCTCCAAAGCCACATTAGGCTCTTTGGCCACTTGAGTGTTCTAACGCCACTTCTTCAAAACAGACTCGCACAGGCCAAAAACCGACTTCTGCGCATGGCCCAATAGATTGCAAGTAACTCCAGAATGCTAGGAACTTTGGAGCTTGCTGGGTTATGTGGCAACCATGGAGCTGTGCTACTTGGATCACCCTTCAATAAAGAACTCACTTTCAGCCACAAGGAGGGCAGTTAATGGACACCCTCTAGCTGCTGCCCTGGAGAGGACACTCACCTCAGGCCGAATCCAGGCAGTCCCCAGCCAACAACTGAGTATCGAAGGAATACTGGGGACTGACCATTCCTGCCCAATTCAGGACTCCTCTGAGGGGCAATTTTTAGTCAGGTGCTCCCCTTTGGGTTCACTAAAACTTTCTCAGTGCTCCATCACAGTCTGGGGCAAACTTTGCCCAATTCTGCTTTTTTTCCACTTTTCTTTTCATAAAGGTTACTTCCAATAAACTTCTTGTGCATCTGATTCTCCCTCAATGCCAACTTCTCAGAGAACCCAAATGACACAGATTACGTGTGATAGACTTTTTATTTTGAGCAATAAGTGTTAGCTACTACTATCTTTATTATTATTTCATACAGCCTCAAACAGAGACATATATACATATTAGTGATTCTTCACAGAGAAGAAGGGAGAGGGATAGAGAGCTAGAAAATTCGATAAGAGAGATACATGGACCAGCTGCCTTCTGCACACCCCCTACTGGGTGTGCAACCAACGTACATGTCCTTGACCAGAATGGAACCTGGGACCTTTCAGTCCGCAGACAGACGCTCTATCCACTGAGCCAAACAGTTTCGGCTCAAACACTTTTAATACTGGAAGAAACCCTTTAGATGAGCATACAAACAGGAGCCCGGAAATCAAGAGACTGGATATGTTTCTGGTCCTGCCACTCATTGGCCGAGTAGCCTTGACAAGTCTTATGACCTCTCTGAGTAGCAATTTCTTCACTTGCAAACTGAGGAATGAGAGATTATGATCTCAAATGTTTCTCTAAGTTTTCTCCCCAAACATTATTCCCTTTCATGGTCTGTCCAGTACACCATAGCTTTTGGTTAATAGATACCTGATACCCACCTTTTATAATGATGCTTCCTGTACTCCTTTAAGTATGTTTATTTTATTTTTTAAAAATATATTTTATTGCTTTTTTTACAGAAAGGAAGAGAGAGAGGGATAGAGAGTTAGAAATATCGATGAGAGAGAATCATTGATCAACTGCCTCCTGCACACCCCCTACTGGGGATGTGCCCACAACCAAGGTACGTGCCCCTGACCGGAATCGAACCCGGGCCCTTTCAGTCCCCAGGCCGAAGCTCTATTCACTGAGCCAAACCAGTTTCGGCAAAGTATGTTTATTTTAAAATAACTGCCATGTGAACTAGTTTAGGACTGCCAGAATGGGAAAAGGCCACTTCTCTAGGCTTAAATTATTTTGTTAATAATTAGTTGGAAATCAGAAGACTCCAAATGGGTTTCACTCTTCCTTTATTCTCTATCGAATGCAATGCCAAGTAGTACCCAGGTGGCCCCCACACTGCTCCATTCCTCTGCTGGACGGTGAGAGTCTAATCACCCGGTGACCCCTGTGGGTCTCCCCGACTGGGGGCAGACAACAGAGGAGAGGCTGTTCCTTTTGTGACTAAGTCCCTGAGGATACTATAACCAGGATCACATTTCAGGGGAGAGGAGACAGGTATTCCCACCACTTTCGTTTTCTAAAATAAATAGAACCCTTGAGGACATCTCACCACAACTTCCCTATTTTCTAGAAATAGAAAAGCAAGCAAGAATGATTTACAAGTAAAGAAAGAAATGGGGCATTGATACACATTATATGTTCTCTTTCCGTATTGTAACTAGCCTTGAAAAGAACTAAAATTTCTCCCGGTACTAGTTTCCTGATGAGTTTGTATGAGGTCATATTGTAACATTGGTGTAATTTTCTTGTTAAAAAGAAAAGCGTGAGCTCCCTCCAGTGGCTACAGTTATTTCTTTAAAACAATATATTTTTATTAGAGAAGTACTGACACATTCCTCCTGGCTTTTCTAAACATAGTCAATGTCATTGGTTTCTAGTGAGAGAGATCATAACTATTGTAGAATTCACATGTTAGTTAGGTACTGATTTTGAGGTAAATTTCCATTGTGGATATCTAAGACATTTTAATTTCTTACTTTAGTAAGTCACACAATTGAAGAATTGCTCAAGACTAAAAATTGTTCATTCAACAAATATTAACTGATTACCTATTATTTGCCATGAGTTGCTCCAAATGCAGAGGATAAGGAAGTGAACAAAGCAAAATCCTCATTAAACTCATAATAGAACGCAGAAAGGCAGACAATAAACAATTAATCCCTCTAATCTGTGCTCCTTCAATGAAGAAATTTTTAATCCATTTGAATTAAGAATTTACAATTGTAATAGTGTCTCCTGTGCAAAGGTGTGAAGGATATTTTCTTTTCTAGAATAACTTACTTCAGGTTAAAAATTATTTGTGGATCAGAAAAAGATGGAAATTTCCTTTGCCCACTCAAGACTAAATATATAAACGAGTATGACATTGATTTGGCTAATATACATTAAACATATGTACATCACATTACACATAATATAACCACTATTTGTAATTTTAAAAATGCATATTCAGTTAGTCACTCTAAATACATACAGTTGTCCCTCGGTATCTGTAGGGGATTGGTTATGGAACCCTCCACAGATACCAAAATTTATAGGCATTCAAATCCCTTATGTAAAATGACATAGTATTTGCATAGAACCTACACACACCCTCCTGTATACTTTAAATCATCTCTTTAGTTTTCATAATAACCAACACCGTGTAAATGTTATTCAGCACTGCTTAGGGAATGATGACAAGAAAAAAGTCTCTACATGTAACTACAGATGCAACCATCATATGTTATTAGCTACATAGTACATGTCAACAACAATGCAACATTTTTTCCAAGTATTTTTCATCTTTAGTTGGTTGAATCCAAGGATAAGGAACCCATGGGAATGGGAGGCTGACTGTATTCAGTTAGCCACTCTCAGTCTTGATGTTTTTCATCTATAAAAAAAAAAAAAAAAGATCCTGTTTTCATGGTGTTTTGGGGTAAAATGGGCTCGTTAGGTTCAGTGTTTTTCAACCTTTTTTGGGCAAAGGCACACTTGTTTCATGAAAAAAATCACGAGGCACACCACCATTAGAAAATGTTAAAAAAATTTAACTCTGTGCCTATATTGACTATATATAAAGTAATTCTCTTGAATAGGAATCAAATAAACACAAAGAAAGTATTTTATAATTATTTTATTATGAAATATTA